CAAACAGCTTGCACCAATGGCTCTTCCTTGTACGGTCACCAGGGTACAGAATGGGGATGTGCGAAATGGCGGTGTGAGTACGACCCCCCCCGAACGTTTGGTCGCATATACGACCCTCGCCGCTTCCTGCTCTATATTGGAAATACCAGATTGCATGTTCCAACGATGCTGTCACAATGCTTCTGTAAGTGGAATTGATTTTTTCGAAAGGCGGATCTGCTCTTAAATTCAAGTGCAAATAAGAGGCTTTTCAGGCCTCCCCACACAATATGAGGCTGAACTAACAGCCTTCGCAGTTACTCACAATATTTGTTTTTGAGGATTCAATAAAACTCTTCGTTCGAGTAACATGTATGACATGCAACTTGTAAGAAGGAACTCAATCGGAACAGCGACTAATGGTGATCATTAATGAGCTTAAACTGGTGAAAAAAATTAGCCCAAGGTCAGCGTGTCAGGCCTACAGATGTGCATTCAATGAATGGTGCACGGGGGAAAGCGCATTAAAATTGAACGACACAGACAGATACGATCCACCCTGACCCCCCTCAGTTAAAAAAATGACGGAGACCAAATGGAAAAAATGGATAACGCAGGCTGGCAGTTAAATTCGTTCCATAACTTGGCTATTATCGATCTGCAAGGTGGCCACCGCTTTCCGCTGACAAAACGTAATTAGAGGCGCGGTAAGTGAAGTCAGCGTCCTGTGGTCATTTTCAGGTAGCTAATATCTCTTTTAAGTTTGGATGTGTGAGCGAATTGTGTAGCCAGCATGCACGGCAAAGTTCCACTGTTGGTGTATTCTTCCTAGTTGCAATTGAACAATCCTCGTTGTGTGAATTGCCGGATGTGTTTGGATAGGCTAGGGGTGAATGACCTCTCCTTCGCAAAACATCATTCGCCTGGTAATCGCTTTTTTTGTTTCCGCTACTACTGTGCTCATGTTTGTTTCCGCTCACTCTTAATCAAATGCTCTGCCATCTCCTCAGAAAAAAAACATCACTATCATTCGACGACTCTTATGTTAACGGTATATGGCTTCATTATGATAAATGCTTTTTAACACCACGGTTCCCGCTCCGCAAATTGTCACGAGAATGCAGAGTTGCACGGCAAAAGTCTTGCACGAACTATCACGCCGAATGCATTCTGTGATAAAAGTCTGTAGCAGAACACGGTTCGGGCGGCGTCGTTTGGGCAAATACTCCCTTTGGTCGAATGGCGGGCGTTTCGCGGGCGGGCGATACTAAGGGCCAATCGTGTTCCCGTTTATGGTTCAGCGCGCAGACTGCGTCGGATTCAATTTCGCTAAAACAATGTCTGTGCAGGCTCGAGGGTGCAGGAAGGAAACCATCCAAAACATGTGTCGGCTGTTAGAGATCTTTGACAAAGACTTCACAGCGTGCAACCATTTGACCCGCAGACTAAACACGATTTGTTCCTATTTCAAAAACCACTACTGCCCCAACTGCTTTCACAGGATACACAAGATGTGTTCTTAATATTACTTCCATATTAATTACATTATTATTTATATACGATTGTCCGTGAAAAAAGGCAAAAAAAATCATAAGTAAACGAGGGAGCTGTGTTACTCCCGCCGAGAAAAAAGTTTCCGCGTGTTTTTTTGTGGCAGACACGCTTGTTTGAATGTTTTAATATTATTTCCCTATAACTTGTTTTATTGAACGTATACGACTGCTGGTGAAAAAAGAGAATATATAGCAAAAACGAGCGACGAGGAGCTTGCGCTCCCGGAAATACACGATCCTCCTAAAGAAAAAAAGCTTCTGAGTATTTTTTCGGAGTACAAGACGCTTTTTCAAATATGCTACATATATTTCCCTAATGGTTATGTTTGATTATATTAGTCCAGTTCTTCGTAAAAAAGGGAAAAGAAAGTTCTAAAACGAGCTACTAGGCCGCGGGTACTCTTCGGGCTTCGAAGGGCGTTTTCGTGATCCGGATACACTTGCACGCCCGAGTGTCTACATAAGCAGCGACTGGATGTGGAACCTATGCACGAAGTGTCAAACCTCTTCCATCAAATGAAGATAGCGTATGCTGGAGGAAGCCATGACTCCCACCACTCCCCATTATCTGTCGTAGGTATTCGTAAGCTGAACCCTGTAAACTCCCATTCAAAGGTATCAGGCACTATAAATCCCTAAGGCGATAGGACCAATACGCCTGGCCGGAGAATTCCCGCCCCTGAGCGGGGCTCTGCGTAACTTCCTTTTCAAGAAAGGCATCGCCTTATAAAGCCTAATCTAAGTTGCAACATACGGATCCGGATGCTCACCGTACCCCGGCACAAATGGACGACCGTACCTGATGCTCGTAACGCCTCATTTGCGAAGTACAATATGAAGGCGAAGGCTTTCACATGATGCAGCCTGAGTGCTGCCCAAGATATACTGGTCATGAACCTGCAGCCGACTTTTACCGAGCGGCTATTCCAATAATTCCTAACCGGCAATCTCGTCCAAATGCTTTACGCGTCCTATGACAAAGGCTTTTCATAGCCAAGTTTTTTGAACCGTTGCATCTTCGTTTTTCGCCAATTCCCGACTAGGTAGCACCGCCTGCTACATTTTCAGTCAAAGTCACAAATTTATCGTGGCCATATGCCTTGAACTCTAATGCGTCGAACAGTGTGGTGCAGTGCCTGTGATCCGAAGTGTAAATCTGAATCGGCTTCAAGCCATCCCTACCTTGCCTAGGGGGGCGTTCTTTTTTTGGCCACATACTCGCAAAGGATGCGTTTCGCGAACGGTTGTGTTGAAAATGCTTAGTTTTGTCGATTTATTGATACATTTTAATCACTTGGAAATTACAGGGATCAACTCTCTAGAAACCAAGCGTCTTGTATGAACAAACAATAATTCTTCATATGAAACGGTATGAAAGGCACTAGCAAAGCCATTGAATTGAAAAATGGGATGAGTGTTAGCATAAACTGCAGTCAATTAAAGACGTTCATTCGATGTCCTCACGCCTTCTTTGGATATCTTGATCCTTCGTACGAGGATAAGGAATGTACTGATTTCGCAGCCAAAGCTACAAGAGGAAAGCACCGCTTGCTCGTGAAGAGGCTGCCGCCCCCTCTCTGACTGCCACAACTGGGTAGATGGGCGAGCGGCAGCCTCTTCATGAGCAAGCGGTGCTTTCCTCTTGTAAGTTTGAGCTGCGAAATTAGTACATCCCTCATCCTTGTACGAAGGTTACGATATCCAAAGAAGTCGTGAGGACATCGTCAGGTCACTTGTGGCGTTTCTTGCTCAAAGGCGGGCTCAGTCTTCAAGTGAGTCACGCCACAGATGAACTGACAATCTTCCCACAGGCCAGTATGGAGAGGTGATAAGTGAGGTCAACGTATAGTTTCACTTTCCCAAATCACATGTGGAGTCATGAATTGGCCTCGAGCAAGTCCCGGGTCACATATAAAGGCATGGAGCACACGGACATAAAAAATTACTTTCGACGCAATAATTCACGACGAGTTTTGCATTGTTCCTCTTTTTTTTCATTCTTTATGATGGTCTCCATATTCACTTTCTCACATCGTAGTTTGATCAGTAGGAGCTAGCATAAAGTGGAAATTTTGATTGCGTATGATTTTTGGAGTACCTGGACAAACGCTAACGTTCAGTCACTAAGAAAACAGTCACTGTTCTAAGCTCATACCTAGAATACGTTGAAAGTTGTTTGTAAGTTCAAGTTCAGGGTTCAAGGAACAAGTTTGGTTGTTGTGTTTGGGAAAGTTTGTTTTGCAAGCAAGCTTAATATCGTTTAATAGCAAACTTCTCGTAGTATTAGAATATCGAATTCAAATTCAATTCATTCAACTATTAGCATGAAATTTCAAGTAAACGTAAATAGAGGCAGTTGTCGAAGGTGCTAATTTTCGCCGACTTCACTTTCAACTTCAACGACTAAAAAATCCACAAAAATTCCCTCAACCGAAGCTGTTTTGATATTCTAATACTACGAGAAGTTTGCTATTAAACGATATTAAGCTTGCTTGCAAAACAGTTCACTTTTGGAACAAATTTTTCAATTGAAAAAAACGGCCATTACTTATCGGCCAACCTAATACCTTCTCATGCTATCGGATTCCGAGGTGAAGAGGTTGTGGAGGCATACGGTGGCGCTTAGTAGGGGTACGATCAGATACTTTTTCGAGGTGAAGCAAGCCTTCCATGCCTCCGGGGTCAGTTAGCAGGTGCCCACTTGTCTAGTAAGATGAGAACACTAGCCTGTACGCCGGCTGTTTGCATCTGGCAATCGCATCAAAATGCTACAGCGGTTTTGAATGAAGATGGAACGCGCGGAGCATCCCAAGAAGAGGAATCAACTAACGCCAGAAACGTTGTCTTTTATCTTTTTTTCCATATCGTGTTGAAAAGCTTTTTTTCCGTGCCAACTTTCTCTACCCTTGCCAACTTTATGATATGGATTCTGATTGTGTTAGGATGATGCTGCAAATGCCTATAGTCGTTTTCGTTGCACGTGTCAGGGGTGGAAGGGGGGGGGGGGCAGGAATTGGCGCGGCGTCAGCCGTTTTCCACCAGCTATTGTCGCTTGCCGGCTTCAACAATTGGTGGTGAACAGGCTGACACCGGGCCAAGCTCAGTTCTCCAACACGCCCTAGCGTCTACAGCAAAAACCTTTGCTCTTTGTTTCCGTTCGACGCTTTTCTTTGCATGTTGGGTATGCAGTGATTTTGTTCTTCCAAGTAATATTTGCCGTTTTCAGATGCAACTTCTTCTTTTACTGCTGAGCCTGGTAGCCACGTCCTCAGCCCTTCTGGGATTCGGAACACATCCAATCTGTGGCAGTTACAGGACGTCTTATTTGTGATGGGCAACCGGCTAGTAATATCAAGGTGAAGCTATACGAAAAAGAACTCAGTAAGTTACAAATCTCTTATCTAGTTGACCAAGTGATTTGTGGATGTCACATAATAGCGTTGTGTCTATTCAGCCTACGACGTCAAGATGGACGAAGGCAGAACGAACTCGAACGGCGAATTCCGGCTAGCCGGATCGAAAAGAGAAATCTCCACTATCGACCCGAAAGTGAACGTTTATCACAAATGCAATTACCGTGGAGTAAGTTTCTGTTAAAACAACGTCTTTGAGCTTATCATATAAACTCACCATTTCAGATATGCTACCGTAAATTTGGCATCACCATTCCCGACAATTACATAACCAAAGGGGCAAATCCGCAGAAGACGTACGATATTGGAACAATCAATCTTGCCAACCGTTTCACTGGTGAAACGACTGACTGTATAAACTAAATTTCCTCTGTATTCTATGTATTCTATCTTGTATATTGTATGTATATATTGACACTGGAATAAAATATGATTAAATGAAATCTGTTATGGCACCGCTTGTTGTATACAGGTCTGAGGTTGATAAAGTTGATAAAAGCGTTGTAGGGCGGCAGGTATGAACATCTAATTCATCTAAGCAGGATTCCTTTCCACAATGAAGTAATCTGTACTAGATAAGTTCTCCAAAGCACTAATAGTAAGGCCTAGACTCTTTAACCG